TGACACGCTTTTTTTTTTTTTTTTGCGGAACCAGGGATTGAACTCAGGCCTTGTACTTGCCAGGCTTATTCTACTGAGCCATCTCCCCAACCCTTGACAGGTTTGTTTTTGCAGGGGTGGGTATCAGGAATCAAATTCAGAACGTTGCACTTGCCAGGCTGGTGCTGTGCCACTGAGCTATATCCCTGGCCCTACAAGGGACAATTTTAGACACTCACATGAAATTATTTTTCTGGTGGTCAAGGGTCTTTGGTATCTTTCCTCAAAGGGAAAAAAGTTGTCATCCTTCCCATGACTGTTTTTCATCACATATAAAATACTACTAATCATAAGAGACCACTTCTTTCTTTCTTCTGATGTTAGAATAGACTGCCATTTGACCACATCGTGCTACCAATTAAAAAAATATATATATCAGTTGCAAAGATATTACAATTTAAAATGTCTACCTTGGAATAGATAAAAAATGGTTTGAAAATAATCATTATCAGGCCAGGAAAATAGCTCAGCAGTCTAAGCACCTGCCTGGCAAGCACAAGGATCCGGGGTTCAATCCCCCGTACCAGCACCACACTGAGCTGGCCACCAAAATGGGTCATGGTGGTGCACGCCTGTAATCCCAGGCTGCGGAGGCTGAGACACAAGGATCACTATAAGTCTGACTTGTGTAGCAAGACCCTGTATCAATTAAATAAATAAGTAATATTTTTAATTAAAAAAAGAAATTAATCATGATCATTACTAAACAAGTTTAAATACACAACAGTAAAAATTCACCCTAAATTCCACCATTCAGGCCAGGAAGATAGCTCACTGACATAAGTGCCTGCCTGACAAGCACAAGGTCCTGAGTTTGATCCCTGGTACAAAATAAATAAATAAATAGATTGCACCATTCAGAGACAACACAACGTTCAACATCCATACACAAGTAGTGACAACTAACCTAAGACAGGATCTACTATACTCCTTGTTTATTATATACCACATTTTAAATTTTACTTCCAATTTTTCAATCTTGCAGTTATCATCATGAGCTCAATTGTCTGTATACATATGTACCCAATAGGTGATTTTTAAATTGTTAAATAAATAAAATCTATATTGGGAATACATAAAATAATGAGATTAGAAAATAAAACTATTTCTAACCCTTAGAAATAATTTCACCGGGGAGATAGCTCAGTGGAATAAGCGCTTCCCTGGCAAGCACAAGGGCCTGAGTTCAATCCCCGGTTCCAAAATAATAATAATAATAATAATAATAATAATAATTTCATGTAAATTATTCTTCACAGATGGGAGAGGTCCTTAAGAAATCTATTCTCATTCCTTCATATACAAGTAACAAAAGAACGGGCTGAAAGAGGCTGCTCACCACCATACAAAGTTAAGGGCAGATGTGGCCTCAAATCACAGTATATTAAAATCTGTTCCAAAAACTGCAATCTCTTTCAGGATCAAACATATAACATCCTACTTTAACTTGAATTTTACTGTGAAATATTTCATTAATCAGATTCTTTAGCCAAGTATTCAGCCCTCCTGGCAAAATATTTCATTTAATACGTGTTGGGGAATGTCTGCTGAAGTGTGTGGCAATCACTACTACTTTCTCTTCTGTCCTGCACCCTTCCTTTATGTAACCTTGCAAGGTTTTATCTTTCCCGCCTCAGTGCAGCTGATGTGCTAGGTTACCAAAGTGCCCCATTCTCCTGGACACAATAATTGGTGCAAACTTAGCCTGTCAGAATTGTTCGGAGAAAATGATTTGGATGCTAGGAAAAATGGGTCATTTCTTCTGGATCACTAGCTGGGTGGATGATGAAAGCCTAAGATGGCCTGCAGCCATTTTGCTATCAGGAAATAAAACCAACAAAGAGGAAAATAAAACAACATTCATACCATCTATGGCTATCGAGCCATTGACTTTCATCTAATTAAAGTTAGCATTAGACTCAAATGTCAGCAACTTTTCGTAGGACCTGGCTCCAAATAACGAGCTAGGTCAACCAGGTCTTCTCTCAAAAATGTGAATTCAAAACATAGGTAATATTGAACAGTTACTATGAAGCAAAGGGACGTGGGACAACATTGGTGCCATCTAGGGTAATGGAAAAAGAGAATTGTGGGGGAGAAAACAAAAGAAACATACTGTGAAAGTGCCCACAAAAGGAAGAGTTGTGCGCCTCCAGCACTAGTTAGATCCCTCAGGATTTTCTAGTTCTGGGTGTACAGGAGGTATGAACGGTTCATTCATTTAAAATATTTACGAAGTCTACTGACAAGTGTCTAGAATATGGTAGATTACATTGTTACAGAAAATATTTGCTTTCCCCCTCTCATAGTCAAGAAAGAGCATATTTTCCTGCTCTTTGACATTGGGCTTAACCAAGTATTTTGCTTCGGGCAAAGAGATGCCAGCAAACATCCTAAGAGCAGGGGCTTCCAGCCTGGTTCTGTGGTTGGGCTTGCTTTCTTAAAACTCTGTCACCATGAGAACATGGCAGTTAGCTGACCCAAGGATTACGGGTGTATGCATCACCCATGCAGTATAAAGTCACCCAGCTGAGCACAGTCTGTGTCAGTCAAATCCCAGGTGACCCATAGATACACAAACAAAATAAATGCGCACTGTGGTCAGTCAGAGCGATGTTGTGGTGGTATTACACAGCAATAGCTAATTAATGCAGCAAGGACTCAGCCCTATAGGAACTTAAAACCTCCTCCATCTAAGGCTTTCTACAGCATCTCACACTATTTGCTAAAAAATCAACTAGCCCATCCCTGAGCTAGACACAGAAGCTAGAGATCAACCACACGGAGATCCCTCCCCAGGGAGAACTCCCATCTAGTAAGAAAAAGAAACTAAGCAAATGATCATAAAATAATGCAATAACGGATAGGATGAGTTTTTAACTTGACCCAGAGGTGCTAAGAGAAGCTTCACATTAAAAAGTGTAAATAGTGAAAAATCATTCACCAAATAGAGAATAAAAGGCACTAAGCAGGCACATACGTACCAAAACATTAAATAGCAAGATGTGTACAGAGTTCAAACGACAGCCACAGCTGAAGATTTTCATGGTTTTGGTTGAGACAGAATGAACAAAAGTGCTGGTCAACTCATTTTTACAATACTAAGAATCACTGGATTCTTGTGAAGCCACAGAGTAACAAAAGATAGTGTCATGGGCTGGGGAAATAGCTCAATAGAATAAGCGCTTGCCCGGCAAGTGAAAGGGTCTGAGTTCAATCCCCAGTTCCACCAAATAAATAAGTAAATAAATAACAAAAGATAGTGTCTACTCAGACATGTTTGTGTTTGTATCCGTATGGGAGGTAAGGGATGAAAACAAATGCCTTACTTGAACCGTTTGGGACCATGAGTGGATTCTTTTGGATTCTGTAATATTTTTATAATGGCCTTATCTCTGAAGCATAACCCAAGTCTACACAAATCCATCTGCTACATAGATACCTCACCACACCACCTGAAGACAGTCAATCATATACATTTGCTGCACTTACATTTTTGACTGCCACTAGTTCCACGAGGCCAGATGTAGAATTTTCCACTTGTGGCATTGTGTCAACATTAAAAGTTTCAAATTTTGGAGCATTTCAGATTTTGGAATTTCAGATTAGGAAGGTCAATATAATACCTCATTAATTTAAAGACCTTATTTATTACTTAATAATTCTAAAAGATATGTACTCGACTGTATATGACAAATGACAACGACATACTAAAATAACCATTTTGTTGTGCTTTATTACCATTTATAATAATAACACAGCCTAATTCTTAATGCCCTGGGAAAACTGTCAATGTATCAACAGAGAAATGATCTTACTAGACACTAAGTTATCTTGTAACAGCACTAAAAGACGCCTGTATCAAACGATCCAAGAAAACTGCTAACAGAATGACCCCAAAAGTACTAAGAACACTTTTTTTTTTTTTTTTGCGGAACCCGGGATTGAACTCAGGTCCTTGAGCTTGCCAAGGAGGCGCTTATTCCACTGAGCCATCTCCCCTGTCCAAAAAAAAAAAAAAAAAAAAAAAAAAAAAAAAAAAGCACAATTTCTTGACAGCTAGCCGGAGCTGGGAAACTCCTCACCGAGGAAAAGTGCACTCAAAAGTTTTAGGAACTCTCAAACAGTGGCTTACGAGGCTGGGGTGTGAACACACAAACAGATTTCACTTCAAGCAGTTTAGAGAGGCAGCGAGGTCAATTAGGACTTCCGACAAACCTTCCCCGGAGGGAAATCATCACTAACCACACCAATTTTGAAGTAGTAGGAGACAGCGTCGCTGAGCCAATCAACACCCTGACGCGGTCACCTAGGACACCGAGTATCCCGCCGATCGCCGGAGCTACAGAACAGACGTTCCCGACTTTCTCATCCCCGGGACAGAGGGGCCAGGCGCAGCGCTCGCTGCTCGCCGCAAGCCGAGCTCGCCGCGAGAAACCGAGGCAAGGCGCGCCTTCCGGGTCCCATCCCCGCCACCGCGCGGACCTCGGGGGAGCCCGGGGCCGCAGGGTGGAGCCTAAAACCTGGCGTCCGACCCCGCCGAGGGTGTGCTCGCCCGCGGGGACAGCACACGCACTAGGACAGGCCGGGCGTCAAGCAACAAGCAGCAGCCCGGGGAAGGTGGCAAAACAGCGGCGAGAAGGAACGCAGCACCGGGGCGCGGAGGTCCCGGCGACCGGGGCAGGGAGCCCGGGAGAGAACGACGCGTCCGGCGGCGCGACTCCTACTTGGGTCTGAGTTGGCGAGCTCAGCCGCCGCGCTCCGGCTCCCCGCCCACCCCAGCGGAGCCCTCCTTTTTTGGTGGGACCCTACGGTGAAGCAAGGGGGCGCTTTTCCCGCGGCTCCGGCCACTTTGGGTAGCAACTCCCCGGCTGCCAAGTAGAGAGCGGCGACCCGGGACGCCGCCGGGTACCTGAGAGGGGAGTGGCCAGAGGCAAAGGCTGCCGAGCGGTCTCCCTTACCTGTCGCAGGAGCTTCCACCGGGCGGCCCCCAGGGACACCGGGACTGCGGGTCCCCGAGTGGCGCCACCCAGTGTGGGACCTTCGCTCGCGGCTGGTTGAGCCTCGCCCACCCCGGAGCCCGCGACTTGCGACTCCATCCCAACCGAGCCGTCTGTAGTACTAGCAGAGGTGCCGCCGAAACAGCTCTCCCCTGTCAGGACCTGCCTAGTTCTTCCCTGGCAGGACCTGTGACGCCCGCCCTCTAGCCTACGGCCCTCGCGCGCGTCTTCCCTGAATTCCGCATTTCCGGTATTCGCGTCTCCATGGCAACCGAGGCAGCGCCGTCTTACGTCATTGCACCATTTTGCTAGCGGCCATCTTGAGTAAGGGCAGGACAGAGCACGAGGAAGCTGAGGCAGAGCGAGCTGGGTGCTGTCCCTCTTGGTTTTCTCCTTCCCAGCTTCTTCTCAAGCTCATAAAACTAACAAAGATCCTAAAATGTGTTTTTGAGGAGTAAAGAGCAGTGGAAAAAAAAAAATACCTCCGGGTTTGACCACAACAAAGATGGCGAAGTGTGCTTAGCACCCGTACTGGTTTGGCGCTACGTGGATTGGCGTGCTGCAAACCAGCTCTGGGCGGCTCTGGGTAGGTTGTGGTTCTGCTGGGTGCAGAACCCTGACTTCTGGTGAGCGTGACGACGGTGGTTCTCGCTCCTTCCTGGGAGCCTGGGCTTTTTCGGCTTTCCTTCGCTTGCTTGTGTCCGGAGCCGGACTGACTCTTTCATCTTGCGTACGTATGCGGGGTGGAAGCTGGGGGTCTCTGCCCTGTTCTCTTTTCTCCTCTTAGGCCCCTGGTCCTTCCTTCTGATCCTTGACTCTTCGCTACCTGTAACCACACTCAGGTTCCCACTGCGATTGTGACATCCCTGGGTGGAGAGTTGCACAAGGAGAACGAATACATTGTGGAAACACCTGTTTGTCTACCCCAGCCCCATCCCTAACCTTGCGTACTATCTTCTCTCTGCGAGTGGAAGATGGATGGTTGGGAGCTAGGGGACAGACACGGTGATTTTTAGGGGACCTTTATTGCCTTTTTTAGTGGCGGCGGCTGCTCTGCTATTCATTTCCCCCATGTTTTGCTGCGACATAGGAGATTAAGGGGGGGAGGGGCGTTGTAGCCGATCAGATCTGTAGTAAATCTGACGCAGTATTCTACCTCTGATACCAAAGGCTATTTTGCAGAAGAATTCTATGATTACATTCAACAGGGTGCAACATATCTAGATTTTTCCTAGTCTAGAAACATCAGCTACCTTCTGTTGAGTGGCTGCTACGTGCCAGGCTCTGCATTAAGGGCCATGAGTAAGTCTATAAATTGCCTCATTTTATTCTTACACAGTAACAAGGCCAGAAGATAAATGATGTCATTCTTTTAATTTTTCACATGAAAACTGAAACCCAGAGACAGACAGGGTTAAGTGCAGTGTCCAAAACTAAACCAGGTCTGACTCAACTGCTTAACTAGCTGTGGAGGTTAAAAAGAACTTACCAGCAGAAACCAGAAAAGGCCTAGTGTTTTCTGTGTGCATCTTGCAGTTATTTTTGGTGTTATAAAGAGCAGAATACTCTTAACATTAAAATGTAATCTCTTATCTCCAAGATTTGGAGTCAAATCGGATTGCACCTTTTGCTATAGCATGTGGTGTCCCAGAGACTTAGGGCAGTTGTTTGAACCTCCTAGAGCCACAATTTGCTGTTCTATAAAAAGAGCATCATTATATGGCTGCTTTCTCCAGCCCATGTGAGTATAATCAGACAAGTGGATAAAAAAGCACTTGGTACAGTCAACGCCCAAATTTCAATCTCTCTCGTGTGTTTTTAATAAAGAGGCCTTTTCAGTGCACCCTCCACCTGCATACCAAAGGTAGCTTCAGAATTGTGTAAGATCAAACCCATGTTGCTTTTGAAACTCTTAATGAGTGCCTAAAATTTCCCGTTAAATCTGTGTATCTATTTGCAATTTTGTGTTTTGTTTTCTGTTTTTTGTTTTAGTTTCCCTCTTTGGGTACCATATTCCATGCTGCACAACCTGACCATAATGGAATTGACTTTACAATTGGAATTTTTAGGTCACCTCTGTCAAGAAGTATTATTTGAGTGAAATTAATTTATACAAGTTTTTAAATTTATTTAACCTACCTGGGCGTGGTGGTGCCCACCTGTAATCCCAGCACTTGGGAGGCTGAGGCAGGAGGATCATTGTGAGTTTGAGTCTAGCCTGGGCTACAAAGTGAGCTCAAGGCCAGCCTGAGCCACATAACAAGACCCTGTCTCAAAAAGACAATAAAAGTAAAGAATTTAAAAAAAAAAAAAAATGCCTGCAGCCAATTCCCATTACCACCAAAACCAAAAATAAATAAATAAAAAATAAAGATAAATAAATTTATTTAACCTAAGTTATCAGCAGACTGTAGGTGTTATCACATAAGGGTATGTGGCCCTGAGGGGAAGGGTAAGATCTAGTGATCTTAGATACTCTTGAGAACCTATCGTATAATAACACATCCGAAATCATTCATGTCCAGGCAGCCCCAAAGGGAGCATAAACCAGGGACTTTGATATCATGCAACAGAAGACCAAATTATTTCTCCGGGCTTTGAAGTATAGTATTCCTCACCTTGGGAAATGCATGCAGAAACAGCATTTGAATCACTGTAACCTCGCTGATCCTTATTACAATAGAATAAAATTGAAAAAGTATCGCCTAACCAAGTGTCTGCAGAATAAACCCAAGATATCAGAGTTAGCAAGAAACATCCCAAGTCGGAGCTTCTCGAGTAAGGTATGGACCGTTTAAGTTAACTATTTGTAGGTCATTAAGTTTCATGTTAGTTTTAAGATAAGGTTGGATAGGATATCAAAAATACTAATTTTCTCAGAAATTCTAATTTGACTTTAAAATGTTTTTCAAGCTGAATTATCCACAAATTAATTATAAAAGGAGATACACATATCTGTAGAGCTATAATGTAATGCATAGAAATGTAGATTTTTAAGGTGATTGACTTCAAGACTTCCTTTGTGTGTCTATCAGTGTTTCATAGTATAATTCACCTTTTTTAAAAAAAATCTCTAAAATATCAAATTATAGCTTTTAATGAAACCTAAACATGTGTTAGTTGTTTTATGAGTCCCAAATTAGTAAACTTAAATAAAGTTTCTTGCTTTAAAAAAAAAAAAAAAAAGACTGCATTTTTTGATTGCATCCTTAAAGAAGATTCTGGAACTGTTGCTGCTTTGCCAGAGCCTAACCTGTGGATTTGAGCCAGACCTTAGGAGGCCTGATTGTTCTTACAGAGAAATGACCCGCTCCATACCTGTTGTTCACCTGTAATTATTTGTTGTCCCCTTTCCTCTGGAAAATGTCCTTAGTGAGGTGTTAAGTTATATAATCATCCTACTTCTTTGTAATAGAGCATTTATGCTATTGCCTCTTTGACAAACTTCCTCTACATTTTACCTTTGTTCCTTAGGTTCCTTAAATTATGTTTGAGGTCATAGTCTTGCAGTACGTTAGCATAATTTTTAATTTTAATTTCTAGGGGTTTTTTGCGTACTAATTTTTCTTTTTTTAGCTCCTCTTGTGATAAAATGCACATAATATAAAATTTGTCATTTTAGGAAAGAACAAATAGGATGAGGGAAAAGAAAAAAAAAGAGAGAAATATATATATATACACACACACACACACACACACACACAATATAGCTAAGATAACTGTACTACTAATTTCTGTTGGTTTATTGAAGGGAACAGTTAATGCTTAATTTTTCAACTGGGGGCCGGGGAGATAGCTCAGTAGAATAAGAGCTTGCCTGGCAAGCACAAGAGCCTGAGTTCAATCCCCAGTTCTACAAAAAAAAAAAAAAAAAAAAAAATTCATGGATAATTTTTTGATCAATTTTACATGCCTATATCTGGTAATCTGAACAACTACTTTGAAGATAACAATATAAATATAACAACCGTTGTTGATTTCCTATCTTATTTTGAAATTCTGTATCGTTTTTATTTTTTAATTTTTTAGTCTCTTTAAAGTCATTTTAGGGCTGGTGAGATGGCTCGGTGGTCTAAAGCACCTACTTAGAACAAGCTTGGCAAAGCACAGGGACCGCGGTTCAATCCCCCAGCACCACATGCCAGCCAGCCCGCCCCCTGGTGGGCTGAGCTGGCCACACACACACACACACACACACACACACACAATAAATAAATAAATAAATTTAAAAAAAATAAATAAAGTCATTTTAGACACCTGTGTGTACAGTTCAGTGCCATTAATTACATTCATAATGTTGTATAGCTGTTATCTGTTCCAGAACCCTGTCTTCACCCCATTAAGGAGTAATTCCTCGGTCTCCCTTTCTCTTAGCCCTTGGTACTCTAATGTACTTTCTGTCTTTGTGAAGTTGCCCATTCTAGATCTTTCGTGTAAGTAGAATCCTGTAATACATATCCATATCTGGGTGTTTTATTTATCTATAGTAATGTTTTTTTTTAATTAGTTGCTTTTTTTTAATTATTTATTTATTTTTATTTATTACATTTATTTATTGTGTGTGTGTGGCCAGCTCAGCCCACCAGGAGACGGGGCTGGCTGGCATGTGGTGCTGGGGATCGAACTGCGGTCCCTGTGCTTTGGCAAGCTTGTTTCAAGTAGGTGCTTTAGACCACTGAGCCATCTCTCCAGCCCCTATAGTAATGTTTTTAAAGCTCATCTATATCATTGGCATAAATCAGAACTTCATTTCCTTTTTGTAGGAGTAATATTGTAGGTAGAAATCACATATTTTGATCTGTGCATCTATTAATGAATATTTGCTCGGACAGTTTGTGTTTTGGAAACCACCTTCTTTTCAACTACCTTTTAGAAACTACCTGTTTTACGCAAATTTAGATTCTAGTTTTTATTCCAGGCTCATACCTAACTGGTATGTGTGTTATTTGTGTGTGTGTGGCCTGCTCAGCCCGCCCCTAGGGTGGGGCTGGCATGGCATGTGGTTCCTGGGATTGAACCACAGTCCTTGCATGCTTGCCTGAACAGGTACTTTAGACTGCTGAGCTGTCTCGCCGGCACATGTGTGTTACTTTTGCTTTTCACTTTTTATTTTAGTCCTCTCTTTTCCCTGGGCTCTTAATCGTTACATTTTTAGCTTTTTAAGTTATTTTCGTGTGTGTGTGTGTGTGTGTGTGTTTGAGACAGAGTCTCTATGCAGTTCAAGCTAGCCTTGAGCTCATTTTGTAGCCCAGGTTGGTCTTGAACTCACAAGGATCCTCCTGCCTCAGCCTCCCAAATGCTGGAATTACGGATGTGAGTCACCACACCCAGCTGATATTTCCCTTCTTATGGTGTCTTAGCTTTGTTTGCCACTTTGTTTCTTTACACAATTAGACATTCTTTATTGCATCTTCTCTCTCATACATAGGTTTAGATTTACTATATAATAAAGTATCAAATTTTGCCTACTGAACTACATTTTGGATCTTTAGATTGTTTTATTTTACATTATGTTTAGAACATCTAGTCATTTTATACTTAGTTCATAAATAGTAGGCAAGAATTGCCACCAGAATGGCAGCTGTGAGATTAGCTCTCATGCTAAGCACAAGATTGACTATTTTTCCCTCCACTTGTCCCAAAACAAGTTCTCACTTCTCTTGTAGTTTCCCACTATCTAAAAACGATAATCTGATCCGGCAACCTCAAGAACTTTAGCTCTGTCAGTGAATTTTTTACCTGCTATAGAAAGCCTACTTTCATATATCATATATTAACCATTCCCTCTGTGATCTAAAAGCTGTAGACATTTCTCTCTATGATCACTGAGACCTGTGAAGCTTTACAAAGATATCTCTGTAACTGCACACATGTCTTGGATACGGATGCACATTTCCTGCTGGACATGGTGGTGCACACCAGTGATCCCAGCACTAGAGGCAGGAGGATCCCCGAACTTGAGTCCGCTCTGAACTGCATAGTGAAACCTTGTACCAGAGTGAGACTTTTTTTTTCTTTCAGCAGGCATCCAGAAGGTAACTTTGTCAACTCTTGACAGGTTACAATAAAGTAGAAAAAGTAGTACTTTTAGGCAAATTAAAATATTTCTATAAGAAGGAAAAAGAAAACTACATATGCGCAAGATAGTTAAGATAGTTATACTATTAATTTCTCTTAAGTCATTGAAAAGAAAGGTTTATACTAATATTGTTTGGACAATTAAATGCCTATATCTCATACCCTGAGCAACTAATTGTGTGTGTGTGTGTGTGCGTGTGTGCATGTGTGTGTGCGTGTGTGTGTGCTAGGAATCCAGCTTAGGACCTTGAGCTTGCCAGGCTGTTGCTTATGCCACTTAGCTATCTCCCCGCCTCCTGAGTAATTTAAAGATAATAATATGCAGTGTATTAACTATTGTTATTCTGCTATTGTTTTGAAATTTTGTTTTTAAAATTAAATATATATATTTTTAATGTAAAGATCTGCTACCTGTAAAAGAACAATAGAAGACAACATAATAGCAGTGCTGCAAGGCAAGAGAACTTCGCAGTCTCTAAATGTCTTAAGAGGGCTAACATTGATGGCTGTGTACCCACCCCTACCTGTTACCTTAGTAACAGTATCACCCCTAGGTGGGGTTTTCAGTACCAACCTCTGCAGTCTGCTCATGCATCACAAGTCCTAGGGAGCTTTTCAGACATCCAGGTTCCTAACCTCCCCCCACATCTGAGTAACTGTATTTAGAAACTAGATGCTTAGTGAGCAAGTATTGTGGATCTAAGGGTGTTTAAATTTGTTCAGTTGTAAAGTTCTTTTTGGCAAGGGTATTACCTTAGATTGTCATTTTACCTTAGCCAAGAAGCAAGACAAGTCTATTCCATGATGCTGACGCTACCCCTGGTGACTGTCATGGCCGTCAGACCACACACCACATTTCTCCAACTTCCATATCATCCCACATTGCTATGCCTACAGAATAACTCAACAGCACACAGAAAATCAAGTAAGACAGAGGACTAAATCTTCAGTAAAGTGTGTCATTTGTCTGTGTCTGCAGTGTAGATTAACAGTCCCCTCAGTACCCCTCAACTAAGATAGAATGACGGGCACCTTCTGCATTTATGCATGACTTGTGGTTGGTTTGTGATGAAGCAAAGATCCCTGTTTGTGATGAAGTTCACAATATCATCAGAAAAGGAGAAAAATAAATGTTACAGGAAAACCCAGGCTAGAAAGAAAACCACTTAGACTCAATAATTTGTTCTAAGACTTAATGGAGTGAAACTGTCTTATAGCTACAGCTTCATTATTGGTTATTTCTCTATTTTTCATTTTCTCTAACCTGCCTGAATCTGACATCCCGTTAAAATTTCTGTCTTGGTCAAGAATGTTCCATCTTTTAACCTCCTGGATACTTCTCCTTTGCTTTCAGAGCCTAGCAAATTTACCATGCCTGACCATTACCTTCTCTTTTAGACTTCAAGGTTCCCCATTTTCCTGGTTTTTCCCCTTCGCTCTCAAGCCAGTCCTCTCAGTCTCCTTCTCTAACTTTTCTTCCATATGACCTCTGCCTCTTAGCGCTTGGTCCTGGCTCTTTACTCTCTCTTACACGTCTTTGGAAATGGTCTCACCCATTGTAGTACCATAGCAGTTACTGTCCCGCTGGTGTTTGCTGCCCACCTCTCTCTCTAGTTGGACAGCTCACCTCAGTCTACTGCTTAACTTAAGCTACCCCACCTTGATTCAACCATCTGTATAACTGTGGTATACTCAGTTGTTCAAG